CATTTGGACAAGTATGAAAATCTAGAGATTTTAATTAAAATGATTAATTAAAATCTAATTAAGGGTTCCATTGGCCTAATTAAGTGTTTAACTTGATATTTGTGATAACTATGACTTATGTTCTAGCATATGTTAATTTGGAACCATTTGATGTTGTTTTAGAAGTTAGGGATTTGATTATCATGATTTAATTAAATTCCACTTTATTGTTCTTATGACGTAATCGAGTTTTGATGTGGTGTATGTAATGACCATGCTATATTGTTTATCATGTATTAATTGGAGGCCATTTGATTGAGATTTGAAACCTAGGGAATTTGATTAGTTTATTGATTAAATTCTGTTTTTATTGTATTACTGATTAACTCATGTATTTGACATTGATAGTATGTTTAAAGCATGAATTTTGACTTATAATGAATTTATGAGTTATGTTTCAATATTGGATTATATTGTTATAGCGCGAATCGCGCTCTGAAGATTCGACATGTGATATTATTATAGTACGTAACGAATCACGCTCTGAAGATTCGACATTGCCATCCTATAGTTGTTGTGGATTTAGAGCATGTGTAATGTGGTTACAACTTACTTATGCATGAAGGTAGTTTCGTGTACTGTTTAATACGTATATAAATTGTTAACTTATTTATTTTGGAGTTGCTTGAGACATTGTTAAGCTGTGATGGCTAGGGTTTGGCTCTAATACGGGGACAAGAGTCCTTTAAGTCAAAAGTTCGCGGGTTGGGTAGGCTGCCTGGGGGTTAGTAGCTCCAAATTAGCCCTATAAAGTTCGCGCGTTGGGTAAGCTGCCTGGGGGTTAGTAGCTCCAAATTTGCCTTGTCTAGGCGGAAATCCGAGCTGTGATATCCAAGTCTTCCACTATTTGATTTCGCATTCAATTCCAAGTTGACAACCAATGTTTAATTGTGACTTGTGGTTTTGGTAATTAGCGATTTGATGTTGTTAAGTACATCCATACTAAATTGATATATTTAGTTGATTTCACACTTTTAGATTGCTAGTTGATAACCTAGAGAATTTATGTCTTGACGTGTGGTATTAGATATTCTAATTATGCCAAATTGTTATATTTAGTTGATGTTGCATTTTAGACTTCAAGTTGATAACCTTGAGAACCATTATGTTGTTGCTTTGTGTAAGCATGACCCTATGTTGTTAAAATTGCATGAATGAGATGATTGATGCTAGAAATGATCTTAGGTAGCTAGGATGCTCCCTGAGTCTCACCTTAACATAGACGTTAGGTGAAATGAACCACAATAATTAAATTATGCAATTTGTAAAACTTTAGGTTGATGCATGCTCATTTCCTACGAGTAGCTTTATGTTACTCACCCCTACGATACTGGAGCATATTTCAGATACAGGATACAAGATTGGAGATTGCAATTGCTTGGGTAATTTGCTGAGTTGAGCTTCTTTAGAAGCATTCTTGTTCACATGCAAGTGTTAGCATGTTCATGATTTGTCTCTGAAATGTAATTTTTCTAACTTGGAGGTTTGACATGTCAAAAGTTGTAAATGTATTGTAATGAGGCCATAGCCCATTGTAGCACATCTATTTTATCATATTACATACACTTGCATGCTTACTTTGGCAAACAATACCTTCATTGATGAAACAAAGACCTAAAGTTACATATTTTTTAGTTTGACCCTATTCTGTTACAGGGGCATTTCGGGTATTTCACAATGAGTTTTTTTCATTTTTTCTCAAGAGTCACGTAGAAAACTTGATTTTGAGGAGGGTTTCTTTTTTGTGTTTTTCCAGAAAACATCATCTTAGCCCTCAAAAATCCATATTTTTCCAAAAAATCCTTGCTGCCAGGTTTTGCAAATTTTTAGTACAAATATAGTTGGTACTATTCATCGACTTTTTTTTAAAAATCATCACGACCGATCCGAAACTTCCGGAGGTCTTGTGGGTGTATTTTAAGATTGTTTTTTCAATTTAGGCAATTTAAAAACCTCCCGAAGCCCTATTTCCAAAACTTGAGCAGTAGCTCGGATTTTTTTTTTTTCCTCTTGACCTGATTTTCTTGAGGGCATTCTACAATGCATTTTTTTTTTTTTTTGTTTCTGTCCACTTGTGGGATAGAAAACTTGATTTTAGGGGGGGTTTCTTCTTTGAGTTTTTCCAAAAAAGTCCGTTTAGATGCCCGTTTTTACTCTCAGTTGCAGCAGTGGTGGGTTGTCCTCGTCGGGCCGCCACGACATCATTTTTGTTTTTGATCTTTCTCCTTCGTCCGGACTCTGAATAATGAAATTCTTGAGTCCATTATGATTAATTTTTTATTGTCTTCCCAGCGGTGTGCTCGATAGCACTTGAATCCACTTTTTGCAAAATGACCATTTTGCCCCTAGGTTCTTTTTGTTCGTTTTTGAAACGACACTTCTGCATTTGTTTCCTTTGGGTTCCGTGACCTCATTAAGGGTCTCATTGGTATCTTAGAGACGCATTGTACCTCTAGAGACCATTGTTTCACCTTTCACTTCCGTATTTCGGATCCATTATCGGGTCATCTTTTGGTTATCACTGACGCACCGGGTTTACAAAACTTGGGCCGTCACAGAAAGGCTAGAAATGCTTTTATTTATGCAGACTCTGTCATAACAGAGCAAGAAGTTCTTTCTCTAGCTTTGAAGCAATGGAATGAATTTAAACAAGTTATGGATGATCAATTCATACATTGTAGCAGTCCGGGAATTATTCGAACAGAGGCATGGCAACCTCCACCCAATGGTGTTCATAAGTTGAATTTTGATGCTTTTTTTTGGCTCATTCCAGTGAAGCTGCAGGTGGATTTGTTGTTCGCGATTCTGACGGGTGCATTGTCAAAGCTGCCATCTGTTCCTTGCCACACATGACTTCTGCTCTAATGGCCGAAGCTGCAACGGCTCAAAAGGCTCTCAAATGGAGTTTGGAGGGGGGGCTTTAATAATTTAATTGTTGAAGGGGATTGCAAAGTTCTTCTTGATTCCAAGAGTCCTCAGAGTTGCATAGCTGCTATTTGGGACAATATTAGTTTTTTGCTTTCCAAGTTTCAAAGCATTTCTTTGAAGTGGGTTGGTAGAAAATCTAATTCAGCTCATGTATTGAGTCATCTGCGTTTGAAAGAGAAAAGTGATATAATGTTTGATCTTGTTATTCCAAAAGTGATTCAAGAAGCTGCCTTTGTGGACTGCCATCAGTTGTAATGTGTTTTTTCTTTGAATCAATGACATCTTCTTTCTTGCCTTGAAAAAATAAAAATAAATAAAAAAATAAAAAATAGTTAGTTATCATCAAATTCCTTCAATTTTTTATGGATTTATTTACCTTATTATGTTTCTCTTAAAATCCCATCAAATTCTAATTCTTTTAAAATTCCACACATTTTAAACACGTGAAATTCTATTTTAAATCCAATTCAAATAACTCATTCTAAACTCACTAGCAACTCACTCACGCATAACCCAAAATCGTTAAGCATTTATTATCTTAACCTTTCTTAACTCATTCTTCGACGCAAAGGATGATTTTGAATATAAAAAGTTAAGAGACAATATTAGCATTCTACTTTTCTACACTTACACTATATTTTTATTTTCCTTTTTTAAAGTAAATGACAAAAAAAAACCCCTAAACTGATTAATGCATTATCTCTTATTTCGTTATACCCTAACTACCCTTTATACTATAAATTTTTCTTTTTTGCCTTCTTTACTTACTTTAATGTTTTTTTTTTTTCAAGAAAAATATATTTAATTGACTTTTTTTTTTTTTTTTTTTTTTTTTTTCAGGAGCCTAAAACCAACGTAATCCATTACAAGCCTCTCTCTCACCACTCTCTACCCAATTTACAGACAACACAAGCTCTCTTTTCCTCGATTCTTATTTTTAATTAAATTTTTGAAGGAGATGATATGATTTACTTGGATATGGTCTAAAGCTTTTTTTTTTTTGGCTCTCAAAAACAAATCCACATTACGATTAGGGTCTTGTTTTCAAATATTTCCTCACTTCCATTTTTTTTTTTTTTTTTTCCAATTTCCACAGCATATTACTTACTCTTTAAATAAGACGACCTATGTGGAAAGAGGAGAATATGAAGTGGAAATTGAAAAAAAATATATGTATCTCCAAAGGACATTCTTGAACTTTAGTACCCAGTTTTTAGCAACCAAATATAAGAACGGAGTCTCCAAGCTTACTTTGAAGATGGACATCTAATGCCTTTCAACCTCGTTCTCCACCTACGCTGCTTCCTCTTGATTTCGGTGAGGGCCAGGTGAAGTAAGGCCTTGTTGAGATCCCTAAGGCTTGATGAGTACTTAATTAAAACACTCTGAGCAACCTCCTTAATTCCAAGAGAAGATAATTTACACAACTAAAATTATTAGAATGATGGATTAGTGCTAAATTTAGTGACAAAATGGTGAAAATTATTGACCAAAAAAAATAGTAAGACATTGCGAGTGTATGGAAGGGACTTATAAGAGAGGAAAATGAAAAAAGAAGAGACGTTGACACACCACTCCAATTCAATGACAATGAGTGGAATATCTATTTCTTCCACATATCATATTGCAACTTATTTTTTTCTCTATCATTTAGGTTGCTATTATAAGTTTTTATTTTTTTTCCCCCTTTTTTTCCCTTTCTGAAATTGATATTTAATCCGTAACTATGTGACTACATAATTTTACAATGCCTAAATTGAATGAAGAAGATAGAAACGTTAATTAGGGAGAGAAAGAGGGGCAGACGAAGATATCTTTCCATAACTGAAAGGGTAATTGCAATATTCTAAAAAAAAATTATTTATTTATAAAATAAGGATCAAAAGTGTCATTTCCTTTAAAAACGTAAAATAAGGGTAGAGAGACGAGTGCGAATACCCATTCCCAAAATTAATTGGGTTAGTATATCTTATGATTGGGTTAGTATCTCTAGTCTGGTGGACTTTGGAATATTATATATTATATTATAATATTTGTTAATTTAAAATTTCACGTGTATTTTGTCCTAATTTTAAACAAGACGTTGTATAATTGGTTTGTTGATCATCTGTAAAATTGAATTAGGGTTCTTATAGACCAAATACTTAGAGCATCGATTTGAATTGTTTGTGCTTTTCACCAAAATGCAGAGGGAAGAGAGAAGAAGAAAGTTCCATGAGTCCCTCATCAACATGCTTCATCCTCCCCCTCCTTCACCACCTAGCCAAGTATCTCTCTATATATACACACACCTACACACACCTGTACACACACATACTGACATTCTCATTGCTTGAATAACGCAGCAAGAAGATGAGGAGGAAGCACTGAACAAATTACGGGAGAGTTTGAATGCGGATCATTTATCAGGTTTCCACTCATTACTATAGAACACATAAATATGCCTCAATAATTGATTTTGAAATCTGAATTTATGTATGTGTGTATATCTATTGGAATCAATTAGCATTTTGTGGATTTTTAATTTCAGATGATGAATTGGAAGAGACTAGCTCTTCGTCACCAAGCAGTGATGAGGATGAAAGTGATGCTCAGAAACTCACAAGGGCTCAGAGGAAGCGGCTTCGTAGGAAGAAACTCAAGAGAGCCGCTTCGCGACGGCAGGAAATTATTGGGCCATTGTTACCTACTGCAAGTGATTATATCAATTGTGGTGGTGAAAATAATCATGTCAAAAATGAACCTCCAGATGTTCGACGAAATGCCGCTGAGGAATCAGAGACTGTGAGTGACAATGGAGGTTAGGCTTTTGACGATGTCATGCCATTGAACATGTCTTCTGTTTTTATAAGTTGAAAAACAATCATGAAAGCATTTGAGTGTTTGAAATGCGAAAGAGTGGACATCAGAATTTGCTAGAGCTGTTTGATAAACTCATTTCTAAATGAGCTGCTCATTGGACAGTTACAGGGCAACAAAAATGGCAATTACATTACCACCTCCTAAAAGAAGATAGATTTTTTTATCGTTTTGACATGTTCAAAGAAAACGTTTTAAGTGCACCAGTTATGAAGATAGTCCACATTAAGGGTAATACTAAGGGAATAGGAGGGCCAAAGTTAATGTGGGTAGGTTGGTAAGGAAGGGTTTGGTAACAGACGGTTTGACTGAAGCCATGGTTGTAGATAGAGCGGAATGAAAACATAGGTGGGAAGGGTTTGGTAACACACAGTTTGACTGAGGCCACGGTCGTAGATAGAGTGGAATGAAAACATAGGTGGGAAGGTATGGTAACAGACAGTTTGACTGAGGCCACAGTCGTAGATAGAGTGGATGAAAACATAGGTGAGAATCGGCAACGTTTTAGCACCGAAAAGAATTACAAAAGGCTTTGACTTGAACCTCTTTTAAGTTGCATTTAGATTTAAACCTTAAGCTTTTAAATCCTCACATATGTTATTGGATTGTAATTGTTGCGTGTGTTTTGTGGTAGTTTAGGAAAGACAACTGCTTGCACCAACCAGAACAAGCTGAAGCAGAGAAGGATGGCGAAAAGGTTGGCCAGAGAAAGATCAAAGAAGTCCTCTAATACGAAGAATTATGATCAAGATCATCAACCTTCCAGTGGAAATGAAGACTCTATTCGAAATTCTGAATGTGTTGATCCAAAGTGAGATTGTGTTTGGAAATTTCTATAGATGGTGACGGTCAAAGCACGTCCAGTCCGATGCAGCTGCTAAAATGAGCAGAATTTCTTTGGATTCAATTCAGATGAGCTGTGTTTGTGCAAAGGTTTGTTAATGGCTTATGGACCTATGGTGAGAATCTTATGGGCACCAATTCAATTCCACACAAATTGGGATGAGCTTGCTGCTAATACTCATACTTCTTATTCTTGTAAATTATTTGGTTCCTTTTGTTGGATCATTAGTGATGATGATTCAACCTGAACAACAGTAATGTTTGTGACAAGAACAGAAATGAGCATTGTGTGATTGTGATTGGAAGTTTTGGTTTGAAAGTGTTGGAGAAAGTGATCCCTATGAATCAATTGTTGATGTGAATCAGCTAAACAGCAGTTTGAGCAAATTCGCCAATTTTTTTGTGAAAATGTCTGTAGATGCAACGATTTTGTTGACAAAAATTGGCCTCAATACATACGGCTTATCACGCACATGGGTAAGCTTGTGGAGGTGGAGGATATAGTCAAAGTTTATGAGCTGGTTTGGGATGTGAAGAGATCATCACAGTACTTGTTTGCACATCGACAGAGACACCGACAGGAGAGGGGTGTGTGTGTGTGTGTGTGTGTGTGTGAGCTTGGGCAACAATCTTTTGCTTTGTTAAGTTTGAGTAGGGCTGCAAATGAACCTAGTTGACCAAGCAGTGCATTGTTTGGTTTAACCCTGCCAAGCTCCAAGTCGTGTTTGGATTTGCCTTGGCATTTTTTTGATAAGCTCCAGCTCTAGCTAGTATATATATTATATATCCAATGAATCATCTAAAATCTGACCATTTTAAGCGAAGAAATTGCCATCATCTCCTCCCCTGGCGATCTTCACCTATTTATCTCCAATCTTCACCATTACTCAACTAAGCGTAGCATTATGATTCTTATCTTTATCCTCTCTTTCACCGGCTTGAATCTCAATCTCGGATTTTGTCAACACTCATAGAATATATATAGAGAGAGAGATGATGTTAATGTTGATCGAACGAGCCTAAAAAATTAGTTCGAGTTTGGTTCATTTACCAAGGATTATGCCAGCCAACTGCGACCAGTAACATACCAGAAAAGTACAAATTTCTCGAAATGCCTGTCATCGAACATTGCTTAAATTGCCATTCTTGCTCACGCTAATAACAAACAACTTTCACAGCATAAAGTTCTCCCTTTAAACTGAAGAATCTGCAGTTGACGGTTATGCACATTTTCATCGATACTTCGGTTAAAATTTTGTACAAAACAAATAGGAATTTCATTTACTACTAACAACATTTGCTTACAATTAACCCAGAAAGCCGAGTACGAAATGGGTTCCAATCCCGTCCCAGCTTATAACTACCTACTTGCATGTCATTCAATGACCTTTTGCGAATAGTACATGAAAGAGAGAGAGATGCATATCCACACACATAACTATAGGATCACAGAAACTCCACGTTTCATTAATAAGGAAGTTCATACTGTTGCAACAGGACAGATGCTTACTCGCATTTATACACACCTATATCAACTATCAGTACACCAACAAAGACGGCCGCCCCCTTCTAGGCCATTATTATCGAATTAATCATTCAGCAACCTTCAAGGTCCCGCCACTTGAGGTAAACAAGCCCTGCTTGATAATGGGTGTAAGCACCGGCAACTACCAGTACATGGAAAAGTTGGTGGCTGTGCCCAGCAATGTCAAATTTCCCAGGCATCCATCGTTCTGGAATCCTCATGGCATAAACCAACGCTCCAACCCCATAGAAAATCCCCATTAAAATTTCATAACCAGTTGTGTGATGCGCCTCAGGCTGGTCCCAGAACAAGATAAGCTTGTGCAGAATGGGAGCCACGCCAGATACGCCCATCCCAAAGAAGAGGGATGCACGAATGCTGCGATATTCGGGTTTCTCAAAAACCGGAAGGAGAGAAACCAAGATTGTGGCAATTCCCAAGAGAGTTATAAATCCCATGTAGAGATTGCAGAAGAAGGGGTCGCACATGAAGGAGTAGTAAACAGGAGGATAGAAGGAGGTCGAGATGAGGGCTGCAATCCCAGCATAATCAAGCCTAAGCATAATGTATGATAAACGCTGAGAGTAGCATGAAAGTAAGTGACATGTACTGCTAGATAGCAAGCAAAACATGGCCCCACCCAAGAAGGCAAAAAATGGCCACCGTGTGATTGGCCTCATCATCAAGGGTGCTATTATGTTTGCCAAATCTTCCTTGACATTATGCTGCATTTCATCAAAATCATGGAAAAAACCTTTAGCAACATCTAAATTTCAGGTATAAATAAAACAGATATATAAATATAAATATATGTATATACATTCTCCAAGACGCACAGAAATTAGTTTTCTAAGGCTGACTAGGGTATTTATGATGAAATGTTCATTTATTAGTTGGTATCATATAATCTTCTTAATGTCATACATTATCTGCAAAATCATATTAGAAATGTTGGAAAAGAAAGTGATATGGCGTCAGATGCAAACTAAATGAAAATTGTAGTCTATGGACGTTTGTGTCCATGTGTAATGAGAAGTTCATCTAAGCATCAAAAACAAAATATAAGGTGAGATTTGATCCTCTCCTCCCTTCTTCCCAGCCAATGGAAGCTTACTTCATATTTCCTCTCTTCCCCTACCAAAGGTAGACAAAAGAAGGGATGGACCCCTCCTTTTCCCAGGGGATGCTTCTTCCTCTCCCTTCCATCCAATTTTCCGTCCCTCCAACCAAGCAGAGTATTAGTCTTAGTAGTAGTACAGAAATGCTGACACATTGAGTTATTGCCCATCAGGTCAAAAAAAGTTTCCTCATTTGGCTCATCAAAGACAATCCAGGAACATATAAATCATCCAGAAAGGATTCTATCACACATAAAACAATAACAACCTCTAGTTATATTAATATCGTGTGTGGGATAAGCATACTGTTAGACATAGAAGTAGTAGAACAAGAAACCCATAGAGTTCTGAAGCAGATAACAAGCATTATAACAAGAAGTCGGAAGATGTTGAAGCGCAAAAGGTTTGCGGAAAGGGTGCACATTAAAGAACCATTCCTAAAGTCTAAACTTACTGCCTGGCTTCAGCTGCTAGAACAGGAAGTAATGAGCAGTTACAATTAACTACCCAATTCAAAATGAAGTTAATAATAATAATAATCAAGCACGTGTGACATTCAGCACCAAAAAAAGACTAGAATGTTGCTTTGACAACCTATTGAGTAACGTATATGCATTTTTCCCATAAGACTTCGTTCATAAAGATTACCATCAACTATAAAGCACTAAGGAAGAAGCATTACCAGAACACAAATATCAGTATGGTTGCCATGGGAGAATCGCTCAGGCAAACAATTGGTGAGGAGTTCTATAATATGCCAATTTGACGGTGATGGTATCAAATCAATTGTAGGTAATGAAGTTTTCAATTCCTCCCGAAATCTGTGCAAATCCGGCATGTTGGGTAAGGAAGGCAGGCAAGCCATAAGTTCTGCATGCAGTTTGTGCAGATCGGCTTTTTTCAGTACATCAGAAAGATCAACAACTTTTGGAATCTTCATTGCAGTGTATATTGTCAGGGAAAGGAAAATAAAGAAACCAATCAAATGCCTGAAAAAAATCATAATTTCTGTTTCAGTCAAGGAAAGTCACAAATTGTTGACCAAAAAAATCATCTGGGTATCTCTGAACTGAGAGAATCACAGAAAAAGTTTCAACAACCTATGTTACAGGCAAGTAATCAAAAAAAGCAAAAACCAAACCCATGTCAAGTTCCATATGCATGATTATATAGCTTCTTAGAATCGCACGATTCTATGATCCCATAGGCCCGAATCAATCTGAGTCGCATCTAACTCGTGGCTTTTGTAGAATCACGGTAGAATCGCTGGGATCATTTGTGGAATTGTGGGATCATATGGTTCTATTCGGTCCCAGCGATTGATGAGAACATGATACTCTGGCTCTTAACTTATTAAGAACATTTTGAAAGCAACACTTTGTGACTTTGTTCTCTAGCTCCATGCTCTAGTTACTTGAATCGAGACAAGACCAATGGCAAATCAAATCAATCAACAACTTGCCAGGCCTCGTTCTCTAGCTCCATGCTCTAGTTACTTGAATCAAGAGAAGACCAAGGGCAAATCAAATCAATCATCAACTTGCCAGGCCTCAGGCCTGGAACTTGCACTATTGAAAGCGATCATGTTGCATGTAAAGGGTATTACTAAAGAAGTTCAAGTAATTCATCTAATTATAAGTTGGTCCCTTTTCTTTTTTGCCTTGGGCCCTTGATGACTTTAAATTTAGACTCTCCTTTTTTCTTTTGAAATATTGAGAGTGAAAATAATGTTCTAATGTATCTTGGGCTAAATGTAATAAAGAGAGCCCTTGGGGATAAGGGCATTTGCACAGGGAGATCTAGGCCATTACGATCGGAAAAAAGAGAAATGTCAACGTTTAAAGTTCTTCAGTTATTCCTACATTATTTGCCACCTAAGCTTGTGTTTCTTTCATTGTTTTGATTATCGTTTAATTCTCTTCTTGATGTATCCTTTTTGGCTTCTCTTCTTATTAATATAGTTCCATTTCTTATTCTTATTATTATTATTTTATAACAGCTTAGCCAGTAGACAAGCTGGAAACAATTTTGTGGCACAATGAGAGAAGTGTTGCTTATGAACTACAGCAACGGAAGACATAGAAAAACACCTAAGAATCGTCTCAAAATTTACTGCACAAAAGGTTTTTCACCAATAGATGACTCACTTGACGTATAAATGTACCTGACCAAGACAACCACTTGATCCTAGACTGATCCATCAAAAGACAGAAGCACATATTACATTAAATGGCACTGAAATAAGCTATTCACCATTAAAAGCCCCAACTTCCAATACTTTTCTCATTTATCAAACACCAACGCAAATCAACTTGGTTTTATCCAACTAGAATATCTACACAAATCCAAGCTTTACGTATCACCTTATTTAGAGTCATAAACTATTTAATCATGAGTCAGCATGTTTTTGTCCTCACATCAATCACATTCTTCTCACCATCCCTTTATCCTAGTCCTTGACAACACGAATAATATCACTCCTTACTTTTGAAGTCTTTGGTCTTTATGAATGCATAAAGGTCTGCCTATCATCACTGGTTGCTAGACCACTCAGACAGTATTCAACCTCTTGACAAGAATCCCAGATATATCGAACATATTATTAAAGAAATTTTGCATGATATGAAAACTAACACAAGGCATAGCCGCATAGGGCCTTTTTGGTTTAGTTATCTGAAAACAATTTTCAAAAGATCCAAAATAAAAGCCGGAAAAAAAAAAAGAAAAAAAAAAGGGTTTTTAACAAACTAAAAAAAGACTAATCTCTGACACTTGCTCTTTTAATAACTCTATTTTAACTGTTCTGAAAACTGTCAACTAAATTAATTTCCTAACTGTTTTCAATTTTTCTTTCTCTGAAATAGAAAACTTAACCTAAAAGACCTATAGATTCTTACAAATCAAATCTATTCCACCACACAACCATTTAATTTATATGACCACACACTATCCACAATTTTGGTGGTAGACCACCCAAGATTTCGGAATACCATGTTTTCTTTACCATATCACATACCATCAAGCACTAAAGACATCCACTGCTAATGCTACCTACTTAAAAGACGAGAGAATCCTCATACTCATAATAGCACTTGATATAAGAACGAAGTAGACCTTTCCTTTCGCAGATGAGATTTTCTTAGAGTAATCTCCATTAATTGCACACTAAATGAATGGCTATGACTATTCACAAAGACGATTCCAAAGTCCAAACTATGCAGCATTACAACATAGTGGACAAAATATCGTTTGCACAAAAAACACACTTGATTGATGTACTCTGCTTCTAGCATTTATCAATTTTCAATGAATGAGTTAATGTTACAGCGATCAATATGCAACTATATGTATCGGGGAGTACTTTTCCGAAGTGGATTGAAGACATCAATGAATTGTTACTGTTATTAATTAGCTGAATATTTTGTTTCCGACCCCAAAACTGAAAAAGTTACCATTCAGGAAGAGTCTCATAGAATCTATTATCTTGCATGTCCATTTCTGTCCTTGGGCAAGCTCGGTTGTCAGGGGAAGGCTCCAAGGTTACAAGCCAACCATGATCCCCGTTAGCATGCATATAATGGAACAACCAGCCTCCTTCAACATTTCTCATGGTGGGTTCTGCGAGGTGTGCCCCACTACCTTTCTTAGCTGGCCTAGCCCTTAGGTTCCAACCAAGCATGGGTAGAACCCCTCTTTCACGTACAAAACAATGGTTCCAAGCAAGATGAGTAGTTTATAGTTGACTCAATATCAGTTCAAATCCCCCATTTGAGACCTCATTGAGGAGGGTAAAACCAGACTTGAAGAGAATTTTATCCAACCCTCAACATCCACAGCTGCTCCGCCAAACCCAAGATAGGGCTCACTTCAGCGGTTAGCAGTATGCTAGTCTCCCAATTGCAGGGATTAACCACTGGGTAGACATTTAAAACTGGATTTTTTGAAGACGCAACAGGCAACCCACATAACATTAAGAGGTTTTCTGACGATCAATAAGATTGTTAAAAATAAAAGGTTAAAGATTGAATCCAAAACTTCCCTTTACATTATTAAAGCATAACTTCAATTTTTTCCCCTAACACTATCTAGTATATATTCAATATATGCGTGTACAAATAAACATATATATGTATCAGTCACTACGAAATCAAAGGAATTATATGTAACAAACTGCCAATTTATAAAAAGGAAATCATCATTTAACTGCAAAGAACCCTATAGAATATTAGGGATAGACCCCAAAAAGGTCCCAAATTACTTAAAAAAAAAAAAAAAGCTCCCAAATCGAATGACAAACATAAACAAAAGCTTTAATTCTTATGAAAATTAAATATTAAATAGGGTTTAGGGCAAAGGAAAAAAAATCTTACGTCCAGACGTTGAGGGTTTCGTTGTGAATGGTGAAGATGCTGAGTAAAATCTGCTTTAACGGCCACTCAGACCTATAATGACCAACAATGAACTCATTGTCCCTCAAATACCCAGGCAATGAGTGGTATTCCACCAGCTGATACCTAACCTGCTTCCACAATCTCTTCCTCTTCCCTTCCTTCGGAGAACTCAGACATTGCTCGTCAATTGCATCCAACGACACCTCTGAATCCTCGCAAACTTGCTTCTTCTTACCCATCCCTGTCCAATCAATCAAGCAAAAATACATAACTAAACACACACACCTATATATAAATTTAAATTTGCAACCAATTGAACAGTGAATTAATACATACAAACACAAATATATATATATATATATATACATACAACTATATATTATACCTGAAATTGAGGAATCACGACCTGTGATGGACTCCGGGAAGAGGAATTTTGAGACAAATTTATACTATTACATACATATATATATGTATATGTATGTATCGAGTTGTTGAAAGGACCTTTCAGACGGAGAAAATGAGGAGAGAGAAAGAGAGCCTATCAAATGACTAACCCAGCGATAAGGGAAGATATAGACGGTAACAAAACCAAGGTTTGGCACCAGAAACTCCGACGCCAACGATGGAAAAGTGTGTGTGTGTATATATATATATAAACAACACGTGTATATGAGGAGAGAGGGGAGATGCCTTAGAGAGATGCGGAGATGCCTAGAGCCATTTTCTTTGATTATTGTGGTTACGGCTTTGGCACGATGCTACTACTACTATTAGAGAGATGGTCTAAGATATTTGTCGATTTTTGGTACAACCGACTTGAATATGATGGGCCCTACCTAATAAACGACTAGCATAAGCTTACTTCAAGGAAAGGGAAAAAAATATTTATGGAGTATATATTTTGTAACCAACCCTTATTTATAATTTCTCTAATGTTATGTTTGCAGACGGTGCCTTGAAATTGAGTTTAAAACATTTTTAGTACAAATTTTGAATTAAATTTATTTAAATTTTAAATTCGTGACACTGATTTGATACCCTCAAATATAACATAATATCTTTTATATAGTCCGAAGTGATATCTTTCCGCATCAATTAATATTTGCATTTTACATATACATTTAATAGCTGGGCTTGAATTCTTTAAGTTAAATCTTTTCTAAGTTATTTTAAATTAAATTCGCTGTAGATTCACAAGTGACATTTAAAATCGATCTACTGCTTGTGTTAAATACCGTCAACTAATTTAAGGAATGTTTGAAAATTACACCACTTTGAAATAAAAAAAATTTACTAAAAATTGAAAAGTTTTTAGATAAAAAAAATTCACCATATTTTAACGACTTTAAAGTCGTTCACTCAATCCCACAATTTTTGGGCGCCCAAAAGCTCTGATTCATTCCCTTTTATACTAAATCCCTGATATTTAAATTTAATTTCGAAGGGCATGAAATTATTATTGCCTACAATTGTTATTCTTTCTCTTGTTGAATATAGCTCATTACCTTTCAAGGAATTGAATCTATTGAGAAAAAAAAAAAAAAAAAATTATAAATATTTCCCTAATGGTTGAAATGACCAAGAGGAGTGAGAGGGAGCGATCTTTTTACGAGGGAAAGAAAACGACGTTAATTAGCATGATGAATTTTTCTTAATTAAATTTTATTTAAATTAATTGACCTGGTTTAACACAAGCGTAGATAAACTTTAAATGTCACATGTGAATCTGGAGTGAACTCCACTTAGATAATTTAGATAAGATTTAACTTGGAGAATGTAAGTCCTAGATAATGAACGCACACTTAAGATAAAATTAATATAAATTAGTTTATGCGAATTGCGTGACTTAAAAAAAGAGTTGTGTATCCACTTAAATTTCTCTTTTACGAAGGAGAGATCGTGTCATTTTGGATAATTCAAGTTCTCTTGCAATGTGTGTAACAATGATAATTATTTCTCAATCGAAATAGTTCTTTTGTGAGCTTTTACAAGTATGACTTGTGTAAATTGTTTCTCCACGAATGACACGAGGATAAGACCATTTTTTATGATAATGCCACTATTTGGGAATATAAAATATACAATATTATAAAGTGTTAATTGCTTTTTGTTCTAAAAGTTTAAAAAGAAAATGTAATTTTAATATTTAAGTTCTTCAACATATTCCCTCTCATGTGTAACATTCTTCCAATTCAATATTCATTTCAATTTTAATTATGATAGTGACACTTATGAGATATTTTTAAATGGTCTCGGGGTCATTAATCCCGACTAATCACCTCTGAATGCCCAAACAATGGCCGAGATTATGTCATAATTTTTCGGCTATAAAATAGAGAATGTGATCCTTTAATATTTAAATTTTTTAATATAAAATTTTAGTTTTTGTATAGCTTTTATAAAAGTAAGATAAAATAGGCTCTAGTCCGTATTTGTTAGGCAGCATGTGGCAATCTTATCCTATTTTATCACATCGTCCAAAATGGTCTTGACACCCTTATCAATTCGATACACTTTTATCTTACGATTTTCCCAAGGGTAATAATACTTTTTGTTTCTTACCACCGACGACATAAATTTAAATTAGGTTTTTTTAAGTATATTATTTCTATATTTGTTTATGGATAAATAGTACTTTTCCTATCCATTATGCATCATTAATTCTTTTAGAATATTTTATCATGGCAACAAATTCATACTAAATAGTTGAACTCACCTTCATATAAAGAAGATATTATTAGATTACAGTCTTAGTTAAGTTTTTTAGAATTTTATTGAATAAATTTGTTAGCCATTCAATTTCAAATTCTCTTAGATTGCGCTGGGTTACATAGAATTGAAGAAAATTTAGTTCAATTTTATGAATTATTTTTCAATAATTTTATCAATTTCAATTTTAAAATTCCAATTCCAATCGAACATAACTTTTGAATATGAAGTGCCTCGATTAGTTTATTATCATGTCCGTTTTTTATTATTGAATTTTTTTTTTAAAGTGTATTATCTATTACTCCATCATTACTTGTATTTGTCATTTCTAGGTTGTGTTCATTACTCAAAATTCTTCATTAGAATATTCTCCATTTAATAGTTGTTAAAAGTAATTCTTCCATCTATTTAATATATCAGTCTTTCTAACCAATATTTTTTAGTTAAATTCTTAATGGCATCTAATTTAATCTATATTTGTAGCGAGTCTATCTCTACTTGTATTTTATATATATATAATTTGTAAATATCTTTTTCACCATAATCTTAGCTTCATTTTTAATATTTTTTTTTTAGGGAAAACTACATATAGATAGAGTTAGGACCCTTAAATAATAAAATAGTCTATTTTAAAAGTTTACTTTTCAATTTGATTGAATTTAAAAAAATAATTACAAATGCATCAAGAATTATTTTTAAGATCCAAAATACCTTCATTCCAAAATACCTAAATATCCTTAATAGCATCACATAATTTCAAAACACCAAAAAAATTAAAAACCCTGCTTTGTTCTAGCCAATCTCAGTATTGGTGTTTTTTTAATGGATTGCCATTTGAAGTATTGCTCGAAAAAAGGGTTGAGCATAAGAGGAAAAAAAAAATATATATATATATATATATATATACAATCGAATCCATTGCAACAATTATTTTGGTCAATTCATAATGACCAAACAAGTGATTAATGAGTCTCTTATAAAATTAGATTTTTAGGATCAAACGACTTGTAAAAAATAACCATTGCTCTCTTCTTTCCTAATAACTGGAATATTTTTCTCTAACATGAGAAGAGCTGCAGGGGAATAATTTCAGCATTACCTTCCTCTTGTGTTCTTAGCAAAATAGTTTAGGTTTCTTTTGGCAAGTTTATATATATATATATATTGTTGATAATTAAACAATTTTATTACAGAAGAAAATAACAACTAAAAAGGTATTATTTTCAAATTATATTATCTTAAGAAGGATATTTAGGTAATTTGAAATAAGAGCTTGAGGGTATTTTGGCCCTTATGCTTTTGTAATTATTTTTTTTAACTCAATCAAATTAAAGTATTAACTTTAAAAATAGATTATTTTGTTTAAGTCTACATATACGTAGTTTTTCCTTTTTTTTTACTCTAGGTTCTCTTGGATTTTACTTTTTGCCCTCCTTTAAAAATATTGCTTTCATATTGTATTACTTGTTTGGAATGAGTACGAAAAAATTGACAATAGTCTTTATCTTTTGAGTTATTATATCAAATCAGTCGCTTAAGATCTTTAGTCTTTTTATCTGGACCAATGAAAAAAATAGAATCACTTCTTATGTACTCGTTGGTAATGATTTCTTATGGACCTTCATATTTCCTTGTTGATAATTTTTAAAAAGTGCTCATAAAATCATTCCCAAATGAGTCCAAACGATGCGAGGGTATTTCTTACACTTTTTTATATATTTTGCACTCTATCCTTCATTTCAAGAGGCTGAAATCTCTCACAATTATTTTCCAAATAAACAATTTAAACTTTAAACATGGTACTTGTAACTTGTCACATGTATGAAGGGGACTAGACGAACTTGAAACAGCTGGATAAAAAATAAATAAATAAAAAGAAGAAGAACTATTTTAAAAAGAAAGGGTGCTTAAAAATTCTAGGTAAATTACATTTCAAATGAGGGCAATTTAGTCAATATGATTAGTCGTTGGTAGCATCAAGATTTTTGCTGCGGCACGTCACATGAGAGAGTTCGTTGTCAATGAAATAATATATCAATAAAGATCTCAAAGATGTATGAAGAAGCTTTTTTGTTTTTATTTTTATTTTATTTTACATATGTAATATAGAGAGATTTTAAAGAGAGTAAAGAGAGGCAAAAATAAAGAAACGTGTTGAGGTCCAACTTAAAGCATAAATAGATGGAGTTTTCTTCTTAAGAAAATTAATAATATATAAATAAATAGTAACTTTTAAAAATATTAAAAATAAAAAGATGATGTGTTAACAACTAATAATAAATTATCCTGAAAAGGCCATTTCCAAACACACCCAAACTTCCTCACTCATCAAAGAAAGGTCTCTTTTCATGGTGAAAATATTTATTTCACTTTCAATCTGAATCGAACCTGCCTCTAACAATAGTTGTAACAAATGGGACTTATTTTACATTAGATTTGGATGGGGTTAAAGAGTATATAAATAGAAAGGTATATAGTACTATCCAACAACTTGACTTTTTGAGTAAATGGGCAAACGTCCACCTGTTACAATTGGTATCAGAGTCAGACCGTAATCCTTAATCTGACATCACGCTAAGCGCCCGGCCCGGAGGACGAGGGCGTTGCCTGGGTTCGGATGGGAGAGAATGTTACAGTGGGACTTGTTTCACATCGAATTTGGATGTGGATTGAAGTGTGTATAATTTGGATGTGTACAATATTAGGGAAAACTTTTTAGCCAGTTATTGATTCAGCGGCCGAAAGGTGAAAGGTCCATCTGAAAGGTCAGAATGTGCTGGGCTTGGGGTGGCAAGGTGCTCCTTCCTTTGATGCGTGTCACAACTTGATTTTGGGCTTGATCAGGTCTGCTAGTGCTAGCTAATAAAAAAACTGGACCGAGTCAACGTCTGAAATGGACCCCAAGCAATGAATAATTCCTCCTTTTGCTCCTAGTGGTGGTTTGTCTCAATTTTAAAAAATTCACACACACCACTTACGCACTTAATTTACTCATTTAAAAATTTGAATTCTCATCAAGTACAGGAGATA